GACATTTTAAATTATTTTTAATCTTTCATGTTATTTGTTGTTCTCGTCATTTAATACAATATTAATATTTTACCTTTTAATTTATCTTTCAATACTCTTTTTTTCTTTTTGGGTATTTCCCTCCAATACCTAATGATTATATAAAATATGATTAATTTTTAGTTTTTATAAATTTTACAATTGTAAGTAAAAAAATTTATTTATTTTTATGTGTTTTTGTTATATATTATTGAAATTATTAGAGAAATAAAAAAAATACATTGAATGCTATTAGACAAAACTTATACTTTTAGTTACTTAATGTTAAATTTTTTTAAAGATATTTTTCAGAAAAAAAAAAGAGATAAATTACCATTAATTTTTTATTTTTAATTTTAATCTATAGAGTCCTAATTTTTTTCAGTTTTGCATTTTTGGATGTGTAGAATGTAGATGCTAGATAGGCTCCCCTTTTACTTCCCTCTCAAGTCTCAACATTTAAATACCCACTGCCACTCCCACTGCAACTGCAACTGCACCTGCAACCTTCATTACTTCAACTAACGTCCCCCTTCCCTGCCGCCATTTCCAAAAGCCAGCTCCGATGCTCAACTAACTGATCGTCGTTCCGATTATCTCCCAATGTCTCTCAAAAACCGAACGCCGCCCAGTCCGCCACCGTCGCCGCCGGATCTCAAGCACCGCGTCATAACTTGCCTCAATAAGCTCGCCGACCGGGACACACTCGCTCTTGCAGCGGCGGAGCTCGAGTCCATAGCACGGAATCTTACTCAGGATTGTTTTTCTCCTTTCCTCAACTGCATCCACAATACGGATGATTCCTCCAAGTCTCCCGTCCGGAGACAATGCGTCGGTCTTTTGACTCTGCTCTCTCACTCGCATGGAAACTCGCTCTCGCCTCATGTGTCGAAGATGATCTCCACTGTCGCTCGCCGCCTCCGTGATTCTGACTCCGCTGTCCGATCAGCATGTGTTGAGGCGACCACCGCTATGTCATCACAGATCACTAAACCTCCGTTTTCTGTTCTATCAAAACCTTTAATTGAACTTCTTGTGGTGGAGCAAGATGTGAATTCGCAGATCGGAGCTGCAATGTGTTTGGCGGCAGCGATAGAGGCAGCGCCGAATCCAGACGCTGAGCAGCTGAGGAAGGTGTTGCCGAGACTTGGAAAATTGGTCAAAAGTGACGGGTTTAAGGCCAAGGCAGCTGCGATTGGGGTTATTGGGAGTGTCGTTGCTGTTGGTGGTGCGGGGAGTAAGGGGGTTTTGGACTGGTTAGTGCCGTGTATAGTGGAGTTCTTGAGCAGTGACGATTGGACGGCAAGGAAGGCAGCGGCAGAGGCGTTGGGGAAGGTGGCAGTGGCAGAGAAGGAGCTAGCGCCTGGGTATAAAGCCCCGTGTTTAAAGGTTCTGGAGAATAGAAGATTTGATAAGGTATTTCTCTATGATTTTTCCTTTTCCTTAAAAAAATTATTTACTTAGGTTATTGCTTACAAAAATTAGAAAAAAAAAAAAAAAGCAGAAAAATTATTTCAGAACTTAGAATCATAAATTTTGAATTTGATAAACTTGTTGTTTTACAGGTGAAGGTCGTCCGGGAGACAATGAATCGTACACTGGAGTTGTGGAAGGAGGTTCCTGGTCTTTGCGAGGACGTCCCATTGCCATCTCAATCCAAGTCATCTCCAAAAGGTATATGGATTTCTTTTTAGGTGGTAATTTCATGGCTAATTGTTTAGTTCATATACTTGTGCAAGTGAAAAATTGAATATAATTTCCGGAAGTTTGTAGTTGAAGAGTTAGATAATCCACTTTATTTTGTTGCAGTTGCTGTCTTTTATGGTTAAATACATTATGAGCACATATGTTTGATTATTTATGGTTTTTTGGAGACAGATGATGCCAGCATTGGATGCTTCCCTTCTGTTGCCAAAAATTCCAATGTGTCTGGCTTTAAGACTTGTCGACCTAAAAAGGCCGTCCCCACGAGCAGGTCCCCTCTGTCCAACACTTTCCCTGTGACCGATATTAAGAATGAGTCCCTCCTGAATAGTAAGGACAGGAATTCGAGCTCATCAATGTCGAGTAAGCTGGACCTCAGAAAATCATCTGCTTGTAAATTGGAAATTGTGGAGCCAAAGTCTCCTTCTTCGAAGGGGCAAGATGAAAATATCAAAAGGATTGACCATGGAGTTATGGAATCAGAACAGAACGGGGACAACCAAAATCATATGCCAGAAACAAAACAAGTACCCTTCAGTAAGACCCGAGATGAAAAAGTGCAAAAATTTGGTAGTTTGAGATCTGGGTCTCGTGTGGTGCCATATCATGATGATGAGATCCTGGATGTTGGCATAAGTAATGCAAGTGAAGTAGCTTGTGAGAACAGTAAAGACATTGAAAATCTATCTATGATCCATGAACAACTTGCTCAGATTGAAAACCAGCAATCCAGTTTATTCGATCTCCTGCAGGTAAGCTACCAAAGCTGAATATGTTCTTTTGTCTCCTAATAGCTAGTTGCCGTTACGCCAACGGCACTTTAAGATCAATTTGCCCCTGTGGAGAAATGGTCAGTGTAAAATGCCCGGTTTACTTTATTTGTACATGATGCTGCCCTAAATGAACTTAAATTCTTCTAGAGCTTGGTCTTCCCACCCTATTTATGGAGTTACTGTTCTGCCGACAGCTTGTCTGCTTCTTGGGCATTTTTACAAAAGTCAAGTATATAGGATTTGCCCATGATAAGGATGAACCCTATTGTAGATCATTTTTTCTTAGTCAATGTGATTTATCATGCAATACCTTGAATGTATTCATTTCATTATAGTTTTTTTTTTTTCTTCTGCTCGTTTTTGTTTACCATTCCTAAATTGTCTTCCTTATTGCAGTGTGGTTTGCTATTTTTAATTTTGAGCAATTTGCATTGCAAATAATGATACCCTAATACTGATCTATTCTTCACCTGAATTTAGAAATTCATTGGAAGCTCTCAAAGTGGGATTCACTCTCTAGAGACACGTGTAAATGGCCTAGAGATGGCTCTAGATGAAATATCTTATGATTTAGCAGTGTCAAGTGGAAGGTTTCCTAACACTGATTCTGCTGGAAACACATGCTGCAAGCTTCCTGGTACAGAATTCTTCAGTCCCAAGTTCTGGAGGAAAACAGAAGCTCGATTTTCTACTTCAAGGTTCTCTTTTTCTGGATGCATGCATTCCCTAAATGGTGTACATAACACACCTAATAAGGATTCTGGTGTGGAAACAGATAAGCAAGTCTTCCAGAGATTTCAGCACCAATCCAGGGATGAATTTTCTGTGGGCCCACTGGTTAATGTTTGCAGTGAGCAAAGGGAGAATTCAGGGTACTATTTGAATAGAATATCAAAAAGCATGAATCAAGATGGTGAGAGGGTCCAGGTTTTCAATGCCAGCATTTCTGATGGAGCACCACCTGTTACTTGTACAGCATCCGTGAACCTAAGCAGGAGGTAAAGGACATTTTACTAGTGTTCATATATTTTGTATGACATTATTATGCATGTATTCTACCGAACCTTTACCAAAAAAATATGCTTTTAGACTATTTTACAAATTTTCCTGCATGAGTATCAAAATTCTTAACATGCTATTAGTAGTCTATATTCTGTTCTACAACTGCTACATGTGAAGTACATTTAAAGAAAACCTTGTGAGTCCTTACAGACCTCTTTATCTTACTTCTTGGATTTATAGATATAGTTAAGTCATTTTAGTTCATGGATTCCAAACTCCAAAGTTCCATGGCTACAAAATTTGATATAACAACCCATTTTGGTATCACATCCTATCATCATTTGTTTCTCAATTGTGTTGAATAGATACAGTGATACACCAAAAGGTTATGCTAGGATAGGGTCTTGATATTGCACTTCCTCTCTGAATTCCTCATAATATCTTCTGTTGCTTACTTGAAAATAGCTTGACTGCAAATTTCAGCTCACTTATGTATCTTTATTTGCTTCTGACTATGGCTTTGCTCAGGTTACCTGTTTTGCATCAAGTGTTTTATTGACTAGTTGAACTGTTTGATAATCTCTTTTTCTCTGTACCTCAGATAGTCTGCTTCAAACCAGAACCAAAATGTTTCAAAGACCAACTTAATCTTGAGATACAGGCACCCAAGTAATCAAACTTGAAGATGATACATCACAGGGAAGCGAGTCATGGATCAAGTTTAATGAAAAGTTGCATACCTTTGGTCCATCTCACCGCATTGTAGCGTTTTGCTTTTAATTTATATTATACTTTTTGATTTAGTCAGAGTTGCCTTTCTGAAGCAACACCAAGGGTAGAGTGGTAGCAAGTATTAATAGAATTATTGTGCCAACACCGATTGAAAGGGTGCTTTAAGGAGCCCTCATCCGAGTACAGAAGGGATGCATTATGCACCATTTTTGAGCTTGTACTCGGTTCTTCTGTAAGGTATGCAGTTATCTTTTAACTTATGGCATCATATGTTCTCTATATCCTTCTATTGAACTGAAGCTTCTACGTTATGTACTGCCCTCTTGCAGAATAGGCAGGCCTAAAAGGACATTGGTCCAGAAATATGCTAATTGCTGCCTCTTCCAAAGAGAAAATCTCACCTTCAATTCCTTATTTTTTTTCTTTTGCAATCCCTTTGATATTTTGAATCAATTTACGCGCCCCAAATTAAGTTTTACTTTGGAAATCCAGATAAATGTAGATCATTAAAATCCTGGGTTTTGCGTTTTGCAACTCGGAGAAAGTGTTCTTTTAATTTTTCTTCTGGACATTACCTCGGCACCTCAACTTCTCCCCTCATGCCTCAACTTGCTATGACCTGGATCAATTTACACACCTCATGCCTCCTTACTTTTTTTTCCCAGTCCCAAATTTCCTAGATGCTTGGAAATTGGAATGAGATTGTCATTTTGAACATTTGTTAAGATGGCCTCTCTACTCTGCCTCTCCGAAGAGAGATTCATGGGCCAAACCTAGTCAAACTCCAATCCTTCTCAGTATGGGCAATTGAGGCTTATGTGCCCATTATCATTGGGCCTATGTGGAGAATGGGCCAAGTTTCCTTTAGAGCCTGTTTAGCTGCCCAATTATTTTGGATCTGATTAGAAAAAAAAAAAAAAAAACCCCTCCCCTCCCTATTTCATTTTATTCAAACAAACAGGCCCTTATGTCATTAATCTAAGGGAAAAAAATCCTATGTGATAGTATATTATATTTGAGGCTAATTATGAAACTTGTCATTTGTATATTCATATATAAATATTGTAGCGCTAACTGTGATTAATGAAAATCATAACTTATAGTTTTCTTTGTTAAAAAGTTTATTATTAACTCACTTAACAATATCCAAAATTTATTTTGGTTCTGCATGTAAACGTACATATAATTCACCGTTTTACTATGTCCAAGTTCTTGTGGATTCTAAAGCAAACCACCAAAGTTGAAGACAAAATTCTTTTCTTCCACAGGCAAAAGATGAAAAAAGAGGTCAAATTGCACGTTTCTGCTTGATTCCTGCAATTGCTTCCGTAGTTCCATTCAATGTATTCTTTTGAGTTGCCTTCTTTTAACTTCATTCAAACCTTAAAAAAAAACCCTTTTTTTTTTGAAAAAAAAAAAGGGTATAAACCACTTAACATGACATGAGCAGCATCTTGATTTTTCCTACACAAAATTCAACTCTCCATCGATTCCCATGCAATTTTTCCATATCTTATCGTATCCAACAAAAGTAAAAACGAATCATTCTCAACCTCAACGCAATCTATTTGCTCTCCGAGTTTCAAATGTCAACATCACAAGTTAATTAACATGGGGGGACCAATAGCTCTGGACCAAAAGCTTCATAAAGACACAAAGGACACAACTGGATAAAAACCAGAACACAGACTATTTAATAGTTCATCCATGAAGAACATCGGTTCAATGGTATAAAAAAAAAATTGTCTTACTGAAATAAGGATGTATAGATTTTTATTAATGATATATATATATATATATATTTTATTCTGAACTAATGTGGGTAGGCTCACTAATATTAGAAACAATAATAATTTTTATTTTATAATTTAAATTATAATGGTAAAACAAAAAATATTTTTAAAATATATAAATAAAATATTATTTTCAAAATTGACCAGAAAATAACAAAATTACGAGAAAATTGGAATAGAATTGTGCTAAACCCCGCCAAGGCAGAACTTGAATACATGGTCTCTGTCTTTTTTTTTTTTTTGGGTGGAACATGGTCTCTGTCTTTGCCACTGATTAACAAGAAAGTGCTGATAATTTTATTACTTCTCAACTCCATGGTTCAGAGCTGTAGCATGTGCTATACGCTCCAAAAAATAGTAATATCAAAATTATTTAGTAATAAAAAATTTTAATACTTTGCCACATATATGTGTTGTACGTCATATAGATTATATTGGTAGGAAAAGGTTTCCTGCATTATGTTTGGCAAAAAATTATAATTCCTCTCTTTACAGCTATTGCTTCAGCTAACACCTACACCATTAGATGTTATCCCCACATGCAAAGGCGGGACTAAAGGGGACCAAAGCAAGCCTCCCCCCCTTATACAACTAGAAATTGCTTTATAAAAAGCTTTAAAAAAAAAAAGTGCCCTTATTATAATGGGATTTAGCCATATTGATTGAAGAATAACTGACCTGTATAAATTAACTTGGAGTAATTGAACTATAAAAAGAAGTTCAATTAGAGATATTGAAACAAAGAAAAATTTTCATTATAAGATGCACTTATCATTGGAATTAGGCACTACAATGTAAATAGAGGTTAATTGGATTAAATGTGGGAATTTTCTTTTAAACAAGGAGCAAGAACAAGGGTAAACGAAAAAAAAAAATCTAAGGTTTTTTTTTTTTATAAAAATTACTTTATAATTTAGATTATGCTAAATTGTAAAATATAAATTTTAAAATAAATAACAAACACACATGATATTAAAGGTATTCTCTCTCTAAGAGTTCGTTGTTTTTCTTAATTTCAACATGACTACATAAGACTTTTTTACCAGGAAAATTGTGTGGGCTAAAAAAATGTAAAAATGAATCTTTTTCATTAGTTGATTACATGTGGGTTCCACTTAATTAATCAACCGTTGGAAAAATTTAAAACATTTTTATTTTTTTACTCACCCATCATCATCTCTTTATTTTCTATTATTACCCCCCTCTGATTCCTAACCCTGAAGTTTACACAAAATTGTTTGTGCCATTACTATCTTCCAAGCAGTAACTGCCATTGACCAGGAAATTGAGGTCCCATTTAAACGACTCCTCCTAAGTCCTAACCTGCAGCTGCAGCCGCAGCCTAGAAGTCTATTACGCGTATTCCACAAGGCTGTTCTACAGAAACAACTGTAGCCTAACTTTGGCCAGCTATGATGCACCCACATTTTTGTACAGCAAATGCTGTATTCCAAAAGTAGGACTTTATCCTCCTAATCATAATTCTCATTTTATAAAATGTTACTCCTAGCATTTTCATGGGTTTCTCATTTTATAAAATATTACTAACATTTTCATGGGTTTCTCATTTTATAAAATATTACTAACATTTTCATGGGTTGCTTTCTCTAATTATAAACAATTTCTTACTTCCTAGTATTATATTAATTTCTAGTTATATTTTAAGGGAATTATTTATATATATATATAAAGCTTCATTGATGGAATCAAGACGGCATATTGGCAATTTTGGGGAGATTATTATGGATTTTGTTTGAAATTCTGAGGAAAATGTATTGCGGGAGACAAGCAAACTACTAGCCAGCTAGAGTCAAATTCAAAGAAAATACGGAGATTATATAAGATCTATATATAAGATCTATGATATTATATGTATAAATAATTATTTTTAAATTTTTTTTTTGAGACTTGTGATATTATATGCTTTAATTAATTTAATGACATAACATACCTATGTTGTTAATCTCAAACTTTTGTCATCCCTATCAATCATTACTCTTTAAAATAACACCTTCAAATTAATTTCTTTGAAATGTTAATATACCAAAAAAATACTTTATTTTTTTGATACATTTGATAATAAATTATACAATAAAGGATAGTCCCTCTCATTCTCTTAATCTCTTCTTATTCCTCTTAAAATTTAAACAAAAGATTTTTATCTTAAAATCTTAAGTTTTTAATTATTTGAAACACTTTATGAAAGAAAAAAAACAAAAAGAACCGGCTATTACAAAATGAGGCCTTGGAAAGAGTTTTGTTGGCACAGCTATGGTTTATGTAATTTCTTTATGCAATAGCACTCCTGGAACTTAAGGTGAAGCTTGTCTACTTTTATAAGGACTTTTTATTTATTGCAACTGAAAGAAAAATACAATAGGATTAGTTCTACGAGAACTCTTTTATCGTACTATTAAAAGAAAAGGTAAAACTTGAAGATAAGGACCCAAACTTTTACCAAATTTAAGAATTGAGACTACATACTTGGATCTTTTTGAAATAAGGATATCATTTTTGCATAATTATAAATAAAAGGTTAAATCTCCAATTTGGTCCCTGAACTATTAACAGACCCCGGATTTGATTTATGAACTAAAAAAATTCTTGATTTGATCCCTAAACTATTGTACGGACTCCAATTTGGTCCATATTGTTTACCAATTTATCTCAAGTTGGTTATTTCGTATAAAAAGTAAAAACTAACTGATGTGTCTTATTATTAAAGTGACATGTAACCGTTAAGTTACTGTTTTTCATTGTTAAGTAACGGATATGTCAGTTTTTTTTCATATGAAAAGATCGATTTGGGGTAAATTGGTAAATAGTATAATCAAATTGAGGGTCCGTATAATAATTTAGGGATCAAATCAGGGATGTTTTTAGTTTAGGGACTGAATCAAGGGTCCATATAATAGTTCAGGGATCAAATTGAGAGTTTAACCTAAATAAAATGAAAATTTGCCAATTTCCCAACCAGATCATCCTTATTTATAAATAGTGCAAAAATTACGTCCTTATTTTTAATTATTGCAAAGATCAAGTCCTTATATCAAAATAATTAAAGTTTATACCCTTAATTTTATAAAATTCATGTAATATCCTGAGAGTGTTTGGCGGAGTTGACAAGAAAATTATTCTCTTGCAATTTAAAAATTGGACAATAATGTAAGGATAATTTTTTATATAATTTTTATATATCATTAAATGAATGGATACATTTAATATTATAAATTTTAAATGAACAAAAAATATTAATTATTTAAATAACATAAAAATTTATATCAAAAAATAATATAAAAAATTATTTCTAAATAATTTTCATAAAAATTTGTTATAAGAAGATTCAAAAATTGACTTTTAACTAAATTTTGAAAGAACTACGCATTTTAATTTTTGTAATAAAACTTGCTTAAAAGTCACATTGACGGTTAATTTTAAAATTTTTTTCTCAACATATTATTAAATTTATGAAAGAAATTTACATTATAAACAAATTACATTTTAAGCTCCACCAAACACCCTCTCTATTTTTATTTTGGTTATGCCGAAAGAAAATTTTTTTTTTTTGGTACTAACTCTTGATATCTAAAAATTAGATTATAATTAATTTAAAATTAAATTACATAATAATAAAAAAAAAACTCTTTAAACACTTATTTTTTATTTATAAAATTTAAATTTAATATTTTATTTAAAAAAAAAAAACAAACAAAGAAACAAATCCCTTTCGCTCAAAGTAATAGATGATTGCGTTGCCAAAAGAAAATTAATATATTAATAATAATCACTTTCCCCCCAACCTCTATAGAAACGCCAAGTGTCTCATCACTTGCTTTCTTTTCTTCAACTTTTCGGTAGAAAGGATTTAGGTTTCATCTCTTGCTTTTTGGCGTAGGAAACAAATTAAATAAGTTTTTTTTTTTTTTCAAAAAAAAAATTCTGGTGTACTTGGAAACAAATTACTAAATAAAGAAATTTTAAAAAAAAATTAAAAAAGAAAATTCCCAGAATAATCGACATAATTCAGTACACACCAGCCCTCAAGAATTCAGTATTTTGACGGCACCCATTAACGCGTCGTCCGCCCTCCGCCAAAAAAAAAAAAAAAAAAAAAAAAGGTGCTGTCGGTTCTGGATCTGCACATTCCCCACCTCCACCTCCAAACCCTCCTCAGATCCATTTCCATACCCAATTTCATCTTCATCTCCTTCCCCTTTTCAAGACATTTCCGCCTGTAGAAAGCCATGGATTCTGACCAACGCCGCAAGCGGAAGCGTTTCTACAGACCCTATTCACGCTTACAGTTTTTTTCACGAAGGTCGCTCATTCTTTGCCTGTGTTTCTTTGTGTTTTTAATGTTCCTGTCATCTGATAGATTTCCGATTCGCTCCACGTCCGTCCGGCGGCCGGTTCTCAGAGTTCCGAGGTTGTCACTCTCGTCCATGACTTCCTTTCACTATCCTAATAATCGGAGATTGTCAAGGCCATTGAAGGTAGAAAATCGGGTCTTGTTTCCGGATCACTTGCTGCTAATGTTTTCCGGTAAGATTGAATTGAGCGAGAATTTGGAGTGTGTTTACTACAAAGTTTCCAGCAATTCCAGTCAGGCGACCGAGGAGGATGGAGAGGAGATTGTTATACAGCCAGTGATGTCTGCCGATGAGTATGACAAGTTTAGATGGATTGCCAGGTGCCCACCTCCGCCTCTAAATTACTCGGCTGCTGCCGTGAGTTTGCGGCGGCGAGGAGGTGTTGATGATTATGATTGGCCTCTGAGGATTAACCAGACGGTTCATTCATGGGAGAGGGTGGTTTATGAAGCTGCCATAGATGGAAACATGGCGGTTTTGTTTGTTAAAGGATTGAATCTCCGGCCTCATAAAGAATCCGATCCAACCCAATTCAGGTGCCAGTTTGGGTTGGGGAGTTGGGATAAAGATGAAGGATTTGCACTCATGACTGAAGCCGTTTCTGCTGCACAAGAGGTTGTTCGGTGTTCATTGCCCCGAAGTATTAGGAAGAATCCAGAAAAGGCGCAGGGAATCCGGGTTACCCTTTTGCACGCCGATAACAGTGACAGATTTGCCGGCGATCGTCAGCCGATGCCCTCAGTGGTTAGAATTCAGAAATCCAGAAAGAGGAGGAATCAGAGGAGGTCCAAGGATTATGTGCCCCTGCCTTCTGTAGCTAGGCTACGCAGTTTCAGGTCCTCAAGGCAGAGAAAACATAGGAAATACGAGCTCTGCGCTTGCACCATGCTCTGGAACCAGGCATCAGCTTTGCGGGAATGGATTATGTACCATAGCTGGCTTGGAGTTGAACGCTGGTTCATCTATGATAATAATAGTGATGATGGAATTCAGGATGTGATTGATGAACTGAAATTGCAGAATTACAATGTTAGCAGGCATACTTGGCCATGGATAAAGACTCAAGAAGCAGGGTTTTCTCACTGTGCTTTGAGAGCCCGAAAGGAGTGCGAGTGGGTTGGATTCTTTGATGTTGATGAGTTTTTCTACTTCCCTCGTCATCACCGGAATGGTTTACCAGCTCAAAACTCACTGAGATCCTTGGTTTCAAATTTCTCATCATCAGGAACAATTGCAGAGGTAAGAACAGCTTGCCACAGCTTTGGGCCATCTGGGTTGAGCTCCCCTCCAGCAGAAGGGGTGACTGTTGGTTACACTTGCCGGCTCCAGAGCCCTGAGCGACACAAGTCTATTGTCCGGCCAGAGTTGCTCAATGACACCCTTCTAAATGTGGTGCATCACTTCCAGCTGAAGGAGGGACTTCGGCACCTGAATGTGCCTGAAAGTGATGTTATAATAAACCACTACAAGTACCAGGTGTGGGAGACCTTTAGGTCAAAGTTCTTTAGAAGGGTTGCAACCTATGTTGTTGACTGGCAAGAGAACCAAAATCAAGGGTCGAAAGATAGAGCACCTGGGCTTGGAACTGAGGCCGTTGAACCACCCAATTGGCGACTACAGTTTTGTGAAGTCTGGGACACTGGCCTGAGGGACTTTGTCCTGGCTAACTTTGCTGATCCTGCAACAGGGGACCTACCCTGGAAATAGGCTCTCCAGTAACATCAAATCAGGGTGCTTCTCAGCTGGTGCCCATCTATAACAGGCTAATCACACAAACAAAAATTCATTCTTTTCTTTGTTTTTTGACACATTTTGTATCTGATTCTTTCTACAGATAGTCCAATTCCAATCAATTGATTACAGGGTTTTTACACAGTTGTACATTGGTGAAAAATGGAATAACATTTTTCCTCATTTTTTTCCTCTCATTTTGTGCATATGCTATTTGGATGATCTATCTATGCAAACCCCCTTCTCTTGGTTCTCAAAATTATATTAGCCAGGCCCAGAATATGACAACTTTAAGGCTTTAACTATTTGAATGCTAAACGATAACTTCAACTCAGATAAATGAGTAAAGAGTAAGTTTCATTGAAAAGGGTGTATGGCACAAAAGCATGCATTCTTACATATTTCATGATGCATGATTGCTCAGTTGACACCTTCCTGAAAGTTATGAAATTGACTGTTAAATTCACAAGTTTTAAACTGATTGAACATGACACAACTGTCCATGCAAAACCTTGTGTTGTGTCTTATGGTGTTGTTATGGAATTCTTGATATCAGAATCAGAAGATCATTAAAGGAATTAAGGAAACCCCATGATGGAACATGTTAAAGCATGCTTTGGCACCTGATTCCTAACAGAAAGGGTAGTCTTAGGAAGTGCCGTTCTAACATCATTCATGAATATCTTTCTTCAATAGACAGCAAGATACAGACATCTAAGGCATGTTCCAGTTAAAACAAGTAATGTAAATTAATTTCCTTTAAAAGCATATCCAGCATGAATGAATATCTTTCTTCAATAGACAACAAGATATAGACATCCGAGACAAGTTCATGTTAAAAAAAGCAATGCAAATAAATCTATTTTAAAGCATATCCAAGAACTAACTTCATGTATGAAACAGGAATATGGCAATACAAAAAATATATTCAGGGGCAAGAACAAAATTGCATATCAGGTGTATCAGTAGAGTTGCCAGTCACCATTTATGATGTTCATGTCAAATCCTGATATCTTCTGTTCTAAGTTTCAAAAGGCTTTAAAGCCTGAAAACAAGCAATAAAATCATTATTAAACACACACACACACTCAAACAGATAGATAGATGTTGCACTGTTGCAGAAACTTTTAGAATATTAGTATTGCTGTTAAGTTTTGCAGTTAGACATGAGTAGAAGCTGCACTGGAAGTCTTATACATTTGCTCAAATGCAAGAGTAACTCAAACCTCGAAACTGATGCATTCTTTGTTATTCAAAAATAATCTTTCTATTAGGCAAATATGTGCCAGTTTAATAACAACACATAGTTTTGCCCTTCGATGAACATGGACAAATGGACAAAATACAAAATGGGCCAAAGTATGAAAATTTTTGAATATCAGTTGCATAAAAATCAGCAGTCATGCTTCTTGGTTTTTTATGATTTCTCATAATATATATATATATATATATATACCAAAGCCTATAAACATGGCACTGATGAGGAATATTCCATTGCCCCTTAGTAATTAACATATAGTGCAGAGAAAGATATGTTTGTCACTGAGATTTGTGTCCAAGGCTTGCCTAATCAAATCACAAGATAGATTTGGGAGGCTTAAATAGAAATAGAGAATTACCTCAATTTAAGACTGCAACAAGGCTTTTATGAATCAATAAGATCACTTAATTTAGTTAATCAACTTTAAACCCTATCTTGAACCACCAACGAGACATTATTCACATATTTTGAAAGTGTGGCAACCAGTTTTTCGCCAATATAGGTAATCCATGCCTGAAACAGAAGAAAGTCAGAAGCTGAAGAAAAAGGAAAGTGGGGATAAGAATAGTGAGATGACTGATTAGATGTTAATCTAATGCCCATCACCAGCTCATTATAACACTAAAATAAAAATGATATGAAGTGAGATATGTGCATGTGCAAATGGAAAAGGAGAACATGATGGCCCTAGGATACAATGAACTTTCATGTAGTGAAATATCTCCACAAACAACATTGACTGCAAAATGCAAGGAAAGAAAAGGTGTTCTAAACCACTTGATGTCTCAATGAAGATTTAATGCCAAAACCATCCAAAGTTTTGAAAATTTTAAAACACTTAGTGACCTATGATCTAGATCTTTATCTCAGACATCAAAATGAAACAGCAGGTTTCCCAACCCACCGACCACATAAAACAACAGTTGCATGCACACACAGACTTCTAGGGGAAAAAGGAAGAAAATTGCCCAGATTAACCCTAATAAGCCAATGGATGATAATAAACTGGAAATATGATAACCAATAACTAAAGGGAAAGTCACCTGATCAGAAGTTGTAAAACCCCTGATTGTGTCCCCACCAAGAATTGCAATTCCTTTATCCCCTA